CTTTTTCATGCACAGGGGTGAATCCGAAAGTCTGGACCCGCCGACACAACGGCTGGGTTAGGCATCTTACTTGGTTGACAAGTGATGTACGTGTTCCACACCGAGATGGTTCGGTTGGAAGACATGGAATGTATCGAAGGACGTGCCGACGGTGGCACGATGTGAGCTGTTGCCCGTGGGTGGGCTGTAATGCGTCAGGGTGGGTGACGGGCAAATACACTACGAACAAGCTTTGTTTTAAAGCTCTACCCACCGCCCTCCCTGGAACCCAGCTCCGGCGGTGTTCGATTCATTCCGATTCTAATGTCATGTGTCACAAGTGCAGCTCACTAAATTTTCATACATGATAATTTTTCCTTTTATGAAATAAGGTGAAAATCTTTGTTCCAAAGAGTCATCACTTATTTCCTATGGAAACCGTTCACCTTGAACCTTGCTGCCACATTGTTCACTGACAAGTGCTAGCATACCAAGCAAGTGTGCACGAAACACGACCGACCGCAAAGCGCTCCTTTTTCATGCACAGGGGTGAATCCGAAAGTCTGGACCCGCCGACACCCCCATGTCAGTCCAGGCTTCGAATCTAGCCAAGGAAGACTTCCCAGGGGATCTCTTCCATGACGGCCTCTCAAGAGACTCGAGTTGAAACAAAGTCGGCTAGGCCCATCCGCTACATTCGAATGGGATGGCACTCTCGAGAACCAAGTAATGCACTGCAGCTGCATTTCAAGACTCGTGAAGCAAGCTATCAGTCTACTAGCCTCCTCCGTTGCTCCAGCTCCCTTGATAAGTCCTGATTTCGCGGAAGACTACCTGGGACTTTATAAGCAAACGTCAACGTCTCCAAAGGGACATGGCAATCAGCACCGGCAACGTTTCAAGCTCGTAGATAGGATTCTGAGATTTACTGAGGAGGTGTACCATGTAACCTTCAGGGACTGTAGACCCGAAGTAACCACGGCACTTACCAGCAGGATCGAAGATCACTCCCACAACCGACCCAACCTTTTTGTCGTCACCTTCACATGCCCCAAGGAACTAGGAGACAAGGTGAGAGGAGGAGAAACCAAGACACGGTCCCTTAACAACTTTAAGGCATTCAACTCAACGGTTGAGAGCTTGTGGATGTTCTCATTCAAGGTGGAAATGTTTCCAACTGTGCGCAAAGCCTGACTAACCACCCTGCCGAAAACGAAACTCTCGTACCAATGCATCCTACCTCGAAGACTCTCCGCTTGCTGTGGAGAGATCTGCTTAAGGTCTATAAAAGATGTTAAGGTCTCTCTCAGCTTTGTCTTACGTTTTTCCGTGTGGCCTAGATGGACTTTTCTTTCTAATGCACAGGAAAGATCGAATTGTAAGCCCAGGGCCTTGAACTGTTTTGAAAACTCTGCAGCCTTGCTTCCTTCCTTAGCATACTTCATGCCTAGTAAGTCGAAAAGCGCTTCCACGGACTGCTGGGCATTTCCGGCAAGAGACTCTTTGGCAATCACGGTGTAATCGTCGAAGAAAGAAGACCAGGCCAATCTAAGGCCTCTCACCCCTATAAACCAAAGGGCCATACTAACCCGAAGGAAAGCACCAACCGATCCAACGGCTCCGAATGGCAACGCATTTGCTCCTAAGTAAGTGGCTTTTCCAGTTTCCGGGTGTCTGCAAATTATCCTAAGAAGGCTTCGGTCTTCTGGGTGAATGCCAAATTGCTTGTAGGCAGCTTTCAAATCAAAGGTCCGACCAACAATCGAAAAGCGTTTGCCTTTCTGCTTCATGAAGTTTAGCGTCCAACTCAAGAAGGCTGCAATTTCTTCAACTGAGTGGATCTTGTACTTCTCTACCACCCCGATGGCTTTATTTAGTCCACCAATGGCGCAGTCATCAATCATTCTTACTTCATCAGACTGTTTCAGTCCAAAACGTTTTGCAAGGACGAAAGACTGCGGGGCCTGGACGTTGTCAAACCATACATAACCTTTCTCTGCTTCCTCTAAGGTCTGACTCCAAGTCTTCTGCTGTCTCGTCTGAAGTTTCGGAACATTCAACTTGAGACACAATGGACATATTCAAACCCTTTGCCAGCAGCAGCAAAGTTTCACGACTATACTGAGGCGGCTTCACACAAGGAGGGAATACTCCAGTGGTTTCCAACCAGCCTGATAATCTAAAACCTTGGCTGATGTCTTCACACAACTTAACGTCCGGGTACTCGAGTTCCTCAAGCGTTTCTTTAAGAAGCAGAAGCCTCTTAGGTCGAAACAAGGCACTCAAATATTCGGGCATGTTGCTCTTTAACGACGACTCTTGATCTACCAACTCAGCAGCTCTTATGCTCCACCTCTTGATGAAGTTGACACGTGCATTCGCCAAGCCAGAATCACACTCATCATCACACAAGTTTTCCTCTAAAACCTTAGTGACTTCAGCACTCAAGTGAATGGCATGTGATCTGGGATGACCGCAATCAACAGCTCGAGCTACAAAGTCTTCTGGCTCTCTAGGAATACCTATTTGGTGCAACTCAACTTTGGAAGAATTAACCAAAGATCCCACTCTTGCTTTCAGCTCCATGGAATGTGAAAATGAATCAAACCCACTGTCGGCCTGAATCTTACCCCACTCCCACACCTGCCGACTTGTAGACCTTGCGCCTTTGGGAAAATTGGCAAGAGCATGCGTCAGTGGCTTGTCACGCAGGTGCAGCAAGGGAACATAAGAAGCAAACTCGGACACTAGCGGCCGGAATTGCTGTCCGCGCGGCACCATGCGCAACAAGAATCGATGAGTGTTTACGGCAGTATGCAACTTTTGAGTGGCCAAATCTGATGAGATCACTGCACCCAAAGCTTTACATTGCTCTATCAGGATGGACGCCAAACGTTTACACAGCAACTGAGGGTAAGCCGCTTCTTCTGCGGACGGATAAACCAGGCGACCATCTTTTCTTTTTGAACTGGGGCCCAGGATTTATGCGAATGTGTTATCACACAAACCCTTTAACGACTCAAACCAAGGCACTGAAGACCACCATCTGGTTGTCTTTTTCCGCTCTCCACAAAGCATGCAGTTATCAAAGACGCAACTATGTCTGATAGCAGTCAATGCGGCGATGCATGGTACCTCCCAAAAAAGTGAATTTTCAAGATGTTCGATTGAGCAGGCCATGTCCAAGGCTATAGCCTGTTTGCATAAATCGGTCGTTGCTTGATATATAAGGTTTGCTTTTTCGGCGCGCTCTTTTTCAACTCCGGTCAACCCTGGGAGGCCCATTGGGAACTCGGAACTACGAAGGGGCTTTGGGATTCTAAACCCTTTTGCTTCCAAGTTGGGTAATGGACGCTCGCGGGCCTTTGACGCTGTTCCACAGGCAGGCGCAAAGTGAATCCACGCTATACGATGCCTTTCTTCGTGAATGAGAGTTGACAACTGAGCTACCTGTTCAGGACAAGTCAAGTCGAACAAAGCCATATGCACTCCATGTGACCCTTTTGAACTATGGTCAACAGGGAGCACGCGCATGCCAGTCTCTCGAACTGCCTTTGTCAATGCGGCGGTTCCTGCAAAAACTTCAATGAATAAAAGTTCGGAAACATCAACAGACTCAAACTTACGTTTGCAAGTGAGCTTATCAGGATGAGCGGACTTTTCGGAAACAGCCAAACGCTTTTGCTGCAGGCGGTCTCTCAAAAAGTTCACATGGTCTAATGTGTGGTTAGGACGTTTCAACGTTTGTTGAGCTCCAGGCCGCTGTTCATCACTGTTTGCCTGAGATTCCTCAACCTCAAGGCCTGTAACACGTTTTGCCGAGACTGACCCGGCTGCCTGACTTCAATCCTGT